AGTAATACAGTATCTGTAGTAGTAATCTGTTATCGCTACCAAAAGAAAATTGAAAAGAGATCAAAATGCCAAACAGCCAAAGTGATGTCACAGCTCATGGACTACAAAGTGATAATTATACCATAATAACTTGATTATACAGTTAGTTAAAAATGATTGGGTGATTCAAGAAAATATCCACACCTCTGATGGAAGAGATTGGAGGTTCAGCCTCCTCCCACCTTTGGACATCCTAATACTTCTACTACTATCGACAGTTGGGTTCTGCCCCTTCCCACTTCAGACCGCACAATTTCTTTCTGTGGAGTGTTTATCTTCTCTGGAATGACTCATTGGTGATTGGTAGTTAATAATTATTCATTGAAGAATTGAAATTAAAATAATACAATTTCAACTGCGTCATTGTGGCAGATAATTCTGCAATAAACAAGGATAGATAATATAGGTTATTCTAAAAGAGAAAAAGCATGAGAAATTATATCAGGGGAAAATGAGGAATACAAAAGAAATATACTTAGGTTTTCAGACAATGATCATGCTCAAACTTTGTGGGTTAAATAATTACATTGTTTGTTCAGAATTATATTTATCAAAAAACTATCAGAAGTCACAGAAACTATAATTCAAAACTCCTTAACCTAAGATAGATAGACAGTATGGCCAGAAAGGTCCTCAATCTGAGTCTGACAGCAGCATGAGCTTCCTTGAATACTGTACTTCTAGCTTTTACAGAGATTTTAATACCAGTTTATTCTATTAGTAAATTGTGGGGAAAAGCAACTCTTTGGAATATATAAAAGCACTTATATCACCATTAAAGTTTTTTACACCTGTATGTATTCCGCTTTCAGGTATGAATTTATCAAGAAAATATGGGATATCTGTACTAAGTACAGGGTGGAAATGAAGAAAGTCAAGTGTATTTCGTTATAATGGTCTTCCTTGTAAAAGGTGATGGCACTATTTCATTGAACATTCAAGGAACAATTGCCTTTTAAAACAAATATGCACATTTTTATGCTCGAGTTACAATGTTTGATATCTGCATTTTACGCGTTTCATACCTTATTTTTATTGGCATTACTGTCGTTCCAATTGAAGTGTTCCTCGAGTATTGATTCAATACATTACCTCAGGCTGACCAATTCATTCCATCAAGATATTTGCTGTGTTGGTGACTTGGTGTAATGTACTCAGGTGAATAAGATGCTTGTGTGATACTCTGAGTGTGTATCCACACCGAGCAGGCTTGAAAAATATGCCTGGCCACGGTGGAATTCGAACCTACAACCTTTGGAATACTAGCCCAATGCTCTGCCAACTGAGCTACACGGTCGTCTATTTCCTTCGATATCAGTGTAATCTAATAATCATGATATTTTTTGTGTTGGTGTAGTGTACTCAGGTGAATATGATGCTTGTGTGATGTTACTCTGAGTGCATATCTACACCGAGCAAGCTTGAAAAATATGCCTGGCTGGCTGGCCACAGTGGGATTCGAATCGACCTGACCGCGTAGCTCAGTTGACAGAGCATTGGGCTAGTATTCCAAAGGTCGTAGGTTCGAATCCCACCGTGGCCAGGCATATTTTTCAAGCCTGCCCGGTGTGGATATACACTCAGAGTAACATCACACAAGCATCTCATTTCATCGATCAAGTTCCTCCAGATATTCATACACTTCCTGTGAAAGAGCCAATTCCAAGTATTTGATCATTTCTGGTCACTTCCTTTCTATTTATGATTGGTTAGTTGCACAAACAACAAAGATGATTGGTGCATTCAAACTATTCAACAGGAAGTTTACAATTATACTAGGAAGTGTATGAATATCTTGAGGAACTTAATCAAATGAATTGGTGGTCAGCCCGAGGTAATGTATTGAATCAATACTTGAGGAACACTTCAATTGGAACGACAGTAAAGAATTATTAAAAAAAATATTTTATTCAAAAAAAGATTTTCCAAGATAATTATATGATTACATTTAGTAATAATGATAAATAATATATTCAATTTCAAATCACAACAAAATTTATTCTTTATTTTAAAACACATACAACACCAATTTAATTAAATAAACTGCTCAACCAATTCTATGCATATCAATCCCTACTTGATGGTCAGCACCTACAGTAATTATGCTAGCCTAATTTGTACACTAACACAAATGGTCAAAGTAAATGGAAATGTAGCAATCTTGGCTTAGCTGAACAGACCACAACGTGTACAAATAACTTAAAGTAATTAGCAGAAATAACTAAGGAATAAATATATATTTATTGTATTGTGCTGTTCACTTTCTAGTTTAAGTTTAATACAGTACTACTTGATGCTATCCAACTTGAGAATCAATGTGAAATGGTCAAGTTATGTGGTAAATACAGATCATGTGTGAGACAAACAGGCCGCCAGAATTGTTATTTGCACAATAATTGGGATTTTGTAAAAATGACATTTATCAGTTGCTATTGGATATTGAATATCAATATTAACTAAATTGACACACAAGGGAGATATACATGCATATAATCGACCGAGACAAAATTAATATATTATAATAAATTATTTTTATGCTCTTGTTCACTGGGCAAACATGAGAAAGGACTTTTTTGTATCAATCATTTTCCATTGTGTGCCTACAATAGTTTGCTCTTTGCATCATACACTGAGCTGGTGTCAGAGGTAAGAATACAATATATATTGTAGATATATAATATTTAAATATATTGTAGATAATCTAATATATATTGTATATAATTATTATTAGATTCATAGATTGTATGAAAATTAATGTTTTGTCCAATTATCCAATATCAAAAGGCCCATGCAAAAGAGGTTGCATGACAACATCTTTGGCAGTTACAGTAGGCCTATGTCAGGCATTAATTAGTGAATAATGTTAAAATTCTGTATTAATTACCCCTCATGTACAGTATGACCATCAATTGTACTGATACACTCATAATAAACTGTAAAGATCACAACCAACCTGACCAAAGCAATCATTAAAGATTGTTGGTACAGTATATGGCTTTAACACTGGTCTCTGGCTGTAACCCTTCTCAAACATATCAGCACTAAAATGCTTTGAACACAAACGACTATTTTTCATAGGAACAAACTTCACTGGCATAAGTTTGTTTATATTCTTCACCCATATGCTGTGCAATTCAGGGAATCTCTTTTCACCTGGAAAGCTTTCAATTAAATGAACAATTGTTTCTAGTGTCTAGTTACTACACTGTTCAATACGATACATATAACTTACAATATAAACAATGCCACACTATACAACACATGGTTTAGTCCACAATAAAGACAATACAATGAGTGAAAGGCTTTGTACATTTAATTTAAAGCCAGTCGTATCTTTATCATATTGTTAAAATTCTCATTTGAAATTTTTTAAAATAGCATTTATCTGTTAGGATATCGATTGGATTTCATCACTGCATCACATTCATCAGCTTGCATGAAAATAAATACTTGCTCGACAACAGCTCCACAAGCCTGTCAACATTTTTAAATGTTGTTCTGCTTTTGCACTGTAGTACACCAATAAATAGCCAAGTTACAAAATGTCAAATACAAGGATTCACTAACCTAAATTGTATTGTACGTTGCTTGCCAATAAATTTCATGAATTCACAAATTTACGCATTCAATACAGCAATACAGCATGCGTTAAATTATTACAAAAAAACGAGATTATACGAGCCTTACCCGTGTGAGGACAGGTCCTTTCTTTCATTAGATTTTTGGCAACCAGGAATTGAACAAAAAGTTGGCATGGTTGCAAATGTCTCGCTATATAGAAATTTCCGACCGAAATTTGAATTTACCTCCTTCTGCTTTAAGCAAATTGAAAGGGGGGTGTGAATAACTTTTTTCTTTACTTTAGTATTTAAGGTCATTGGTGTTCACCATAAATTTAGGTCGATTGTGACGTCAAAATGACGTAAATTTGGCAAAAATCCGCCATGTTTTTCGTCACACATTTTTGAATGACGAGGTATTGGAGCACGATTTCCAGATACATTAAGTAGAGCTCAGTGACTCGAACATCGTTGGTGACCCACGCCCGCGGTCATTGATGAACTTTAGACTTCGCTAATGCTTTCGATTTCCCGGGTGTAAATAGCCGGGCGGAATTAGTACCCTCGCCTCGGGTTTACGCCCGGAACGGCGCTCCGCGCCGTTGGCTTGGGGATGAGTGAGCGATAATTTTGTGAACATTTTGTTGATTTTCCCATGCTATATTAAACGATAGTCCAAATTTTTGTATTCTGGCTGATCTGTGTGTATTTTCAAACATTTGGTAAAGATTTCAATGGTATCTGATTGGGTGAAATCCGCGAATATGCTGATTTCTTTGACAGGCGAGCTCTTTACATTGGATTCAGGGCAACGAAACGCCGAAAACTCGTGAGTTATTTTAACTCACGAGCTTGCGCCACGTTAAATCCGGAGATCAAGTCATCAACGTACAGTCCATCTCGAAGTTTAGCCACAATGTCCGGTTCTCGGTTCTTCCAGGTGCTCAAATGCATGTCAAAAATTCCCCCCTCAGCGAGATTGGGGTGAGAGCTTGACCAAAAGGCACTGTAGCAAATCTCAAAATTTCAACGTCAGACTGTCCGTCTGTCTGCCAGTGGAAGCGGAGAACATCACGATTGGGTTCCCTCACTCGAATCTGAAGAAACGCTTTCTGGAAATCACCATTCAATGCTACCAGGTGAAAGCGTCCTCTGACCAATACATTCCAAAGTTCATTTGTCACACTGGGCCCTAGCCTGCGTAGCAGACGGTTTTTAGGGGAGGTTGCGGGCGGGGAAAATTAGGGCGAGAAAAGTTAGGCGGGAGGGCGAGAAAAACCGTCTGCCGGGTTTCTATATGATTTCGTTTGCCAGGCCACTGGTGGACTGAAAATACGTGATTGGCCAAAAACCCAACGGCTGTTAATAAGTTCATTATTATATCAACTTAATTAGACAAACATGGCGTTTGCTTTGGAGCACAGTGTCGAGTTTGACTTTCATATTGAGAATGCGCTTAGTATACTAAATTCGTATAGAAATTCTTCATGTAAGTTTGTGTTGAAGACGGAGCAAAGAGACAGCCGTAAAGAAACTATTAAAAGGAAATGGTGTTTTGGCTGTTTTGCGACAGGATTCGGTGAAAGTATAATTTTTATCGTGTATTTGTTGGCACGTAGTAGTTTCGTCGAACAGACAGACTAGAGGCTCTTCCGGCTCAAAGCAGTGTGCTTGTGGTTTCTCCTCTGAAAAGCATTATATGCGATCAAGTGTTAGAGGTATCTTCGTTCAATTGTTCTGCGATGGAGCTTTCAAAGGAAACTATCCATCAAATCACAACATCTCCGCCGCAATTTATATACTGTAGCGCGGAAAATTGTATAGACAAAGATTTTCTTGATATGCTCAAGGATGATGGCTCACAATTACACAAGTCTGTGGAAGCAATAGTTGTGAATGAGTCTCATACAATTGAGACATGGACTGGAAAAAGGTAAGACCGGGTTTCTGAAACCGCTTCTTCTAAAAGTTTAGTTATGTAGTCTGACATTGACGCCAATCTGGTACTGTATTTCTAAGTATTCATATCGCATATCGGTACATTGGGACGTTTTTCGTCTTTTTTGTGTAGAGATATAAAAGGCAAATAATCGAATTCGAAGGACAAGAAAGCTTTCAGAGAAGCTTATGGAAAGCTTGCAATTCTTAGGTCAATGTGCAAAAAAGGCAAGCAATTTATATATCTTGTTTCTTCAATTTATTTAATATACTCCTGGTCTTAAATGTTAATGTTTATTGACAAGTAAAATAAAGTTTTGTTATTTGTATAAGCATTTGTCATATTAAATTACATTCAATGGACAAAAGCAAGTGGTCTATTCATTTAAATTAATCAGAAGTCCTTTGTAGCTATTGTACTGTAGTTAGAATTTCATTATCACATAATTTCTGGTAGTTTGGTATACTCATACGTCCTTTTTTTGTTGTGTTTATAAGCCATTCACGACTGGATAGATTGTCTTTCTTCCTTTATTTCTTCATTCATGTTGTTTTTATTCCAGGTACCCCATTATTAGCTTTAACTGGAACAGCAGATCAAGAAACCCAGAATGTCATTTGTCATAACCTAGCCCTGAAAGACCCCACAAAGTTTTTCGTCAGCCCGAATCGTCTCAATTTGCGGTTCAGTGTTATCAAGGTTCCAAAAAAACAAATGCTATCTCAGCTGGATTGGATTGTGGAGAAGATAAAGAATGAAGGCATTGCTACTCCCAAAACTATAATATTTTGCGATACCATGTATTCAGTTGCACATGTTGCCAACTACCTGATGATGAAGCTGGGAAGACAGGCATTTTATCCAACAACTTCTGAAGAAAGAGAAAATTGTCTTGTGGGCATATTCCATTCTGTTACCCAAGAGAAGTACAAGGAAAGAATTGTAAAATCGCTCAAAAGTGATGGTTCGAAAAGAATTGTTATTGCCACGTCAGCATTGCATGAGTATGGGAGTTAACTTTCCTGACATTAGATTCATTGTAATGTTTGGGCCACCACGTGATATTTTAGATCTACACCAAAAAGCTGGACGAGCTGGTTTATCATCTGACATTTTAATATATTATTATGGTCAACAGATTTCACATGTTGATGAGGACGTGAGGGAGTTTTTAAAAAATGATGATTGCATGCATGTTGCTGCTTACAGAGTATATGATCAAGATGTTGTTCCTCTACTTCCTGCTCATAGTTGCTGTGGTTTTTGTGCTGCATCTTGTTGTGGTGATGAAGTTCAAGAAAAGTGTGAAAGAATATCTGGTCCATACCATTTTAATCTTGTTCCAGATGACATTGAAAATTCTTGTAATTTGTATCGATCTGTGTCTGAAGAAGATAAATGCATCTTTCATGATGCTTTAAAAGAGCAGCAAATGAATATTTCATCTTACAAAGCAATCATTGGTCTTGGATCAGTGTCAAGTCATGGTTTTTCTGAATAAGTCATCACAGATGTTGTTGAGAATTGTAATAAGATATTTTCTGTGGAAGATGTCATAACTTATTCACCTATTTTTCAAGAAACCAAGCTATGGAAGTGCTTTCTATTTTTAGTGAAATGTTAAATGATATTGAAGAGGTGCACTTGATATCTAACATTTCATTGGAAGATGATAGCTATCCACCATTTTTTTTAGACCAGTTGCTAAACAGTGAATTTCAGATACTGATGTTAATGGAGAAGTGTTTGACTTGGATGTGATAGACTAAGATGATGTACTAGAAACAATGTACATTTATGATTCTCTGTATATATATATATATATATTACGACAAAGAGATGGCTACGTATCGAAGAATTTATTAAAGATGACTAAAGTAAAGTATACAAATAAATTTTCGGCCACTTGACACGGCCTTCCTCAGAATATATATATATATATATATATATATATATATATATATATATATATATATATATATATATATATATATATATATATATATATATATATATATATATATATATATATATAGCTTAAGATTTTGGTTTACGAAACACAATAATACGTAATATAGTTTTTCGTTTTACCTCAAAAAACCACAACAGTCTGTTTCATCCGTATAGGAATCATCAGGTGATGATTCCTAATCACCACCTGATGATTTCTATACGGATGAAACAGACTGTTGTGGTTTTTTGAGGTAAAACGAAAAACTATATATATATATATATATATATATATATATATATATATATATATATATATATATATATATATATATATATATATATATATATATACTGGTACATCACTTGGGAAAGTTTTCACTTGGAACCTGCTGCTATTGGGAATAAAATTGATGGACAAACAAACCTAATAACTTCTCAAAAGCTCTGTACAATCTAGAAGTGGTTCATGAAGGTGTATATGCTCTGAATGGCTTCCTGTAACCTTGGGAGCCATATTGTTTTATTTTATTGAAATGACATGCATACAGGCTATGCATAATGCCTTGTTTGCAATCAGGTCCTGGAAATGAGTTGCATCAAAATGAGGCTTTTCAAGTGAATACAGTCCTTAAAACTGTTGAATGTGGTTTTAGTAGGGTAATTCTGTTTTCTGTTTTAATACCATTTATACAATATGGCTTCTGATCACCCAGCCTTTTTTTATGCTACTCGTTTCCACACCGAAATCGCAATCATTCAAAGCATTATGTACAAAGCGAATATAATCATTTGGAATCTACATTTGCTGAAATGAATTTGACTCAAAAATGTAGAAAATATAATTGAGTCTATGCATGTGTTATAGACAACAGAAGTACCTTATCAGAATATTAGTAAGAAGACACCTTGGCCAATTAAAAAATAATCTGTTTTTCCATTTTCCTGATCAACTTTTTTTTTCAACCAACCCTAATTCTCTAATGTTTTTTGCATATATATCACTATTTACAATAATTAAATAATTTACAGAATCATGTGAATTAGGTCTTATTTAGATCATACAGAGGTTCCCAGGTTTTAATAAGTTCCAGCATCCATAAGCGTAAATCTTTGAAATTCAAACTTCCCAGTAGACTACGTGGAAATTTAGGAAATGATCGATGTCCTTGTCTGCCTTCTTGATATGTGAATGCCCCAATTGTAAGCAAATATTTTGTGATTTGTTGTACAGCAACGAATTGGTTGCCTTGTGTTCTGTAACCAACAGCTGATTGAATTCCACAGTCATTGTCTACACTGTTCAAAATCCGTTCCATTTCATCAACATGTATTTGAAAATCGGGCAGCTGATGTTTCATTGAGATTTGCCCCTAGTGATCTCCTCGTAGTTTTCACTATCTTGTTTTAGCTGTTCCATTCTAAGATCAAGAGGAATATTTTCTGCTTTCGTACCATGCTTATTAAAAGATCTGTTCCATTTTAAGCTGTGTGCTTCTTTCTTAGAAAGGATAGCAACAATCTTCACAAGGTATAAGAGGACAGCATATGCATATTTGCTTTTCTTGTATGCCTTGAACATGCCTATAACACAGATTATGTCATATATTATATGTTATCAATTTTTAAAATATTGTACATGATGATGTACTTTAGACAAATAACCTCAATGGTCTGACTTATATGTGAATGTTATAAATTATTAACAATACCTGTTCCTTGTTGTTTTGCTCGAGAATACAAAACCACATGAGGATCTACAATGGTAAAAACCAAAGTCATCTCTTTCGCCATCACTTGCTTCATATTTTGAGAAAATGACATTATGACATGTAACCTCGTGTCTGTAAAAAAACAATATGGCAAAAATGATTAAAAATAGCAAATTTTGTGTAGTGATGAGGTCAATTAGGTCACAGAAAGTATATAATTTACAGTAGAAAATATATACTTTTCATTTTCGAATATCTTACTTAGGTACTCATTATAGTAAGTAACGACTTACAATCCTGGACATAAATTACTGGCAAAAGGCTAAAAACTAAGAAAATTCATTGAATTTCACCCCCCTTCCCCTAATATCAATGTTGATGGGTGTGTTCGAAGCCAGATAACTTGGAAAAACATTGATATTGGGGGAAGGCGGCATCATTGGGACAAAAATGTTTTAAAATTATATTTTGAAGTAATAAACTATAGTTTTTGCCACTTTTTTTGTCCAGGATTGTATGAGATAATTTCCAAATTTGAATGTTTTAGTTTTAGTGTATCGGGATGTCTGATTGATAGGGTTTTTACTTATACTGAAAATAGTATGAAATGACTCCGATATGAAGTGATTCTTTATATATTTACACAACTTTCATGTATTTGACATTTATGTGCACACAGACATTATTAGCAGTAATACATCTTCGTCACCCTGACAAGTACACGCAATAGCGTCACAATCTCAAGATGAGAAGGTAACAGTGCTAAAGCCCCTCATACTATATCATCGGACACCCGAAGCACTGCCAAAAATCGTCTCTCTGAAGTCTGAATCCTTTCAGTTCAATTTTATACAGCAATAGTTTCGTTTGCGCTCGTGGGATTTTATCCTAGACATACGCATGTGCAGAACACACCCTAAGTTCTATTCCCGTGTTTATTCAATTTAAATAGCTCTTTAATGAATTAACATGATCATTAATGATAATATGTAAACTACAACACTATAATTGATCTCCGCTTGTGGAGATTTTAATTTAGAATTAAAACTAATAATTCCCAACAATAGTTCTTTGCCTACAATTTCAATTTGACGTGTCACCAACGTGTCACCATACATGTCACCAAGATAATTCTGCTTCGTATATAGTAAATCAACGTGTCACCAACGTGTCACCAAAATTTTATATAAAGTATATATACTTTACTTATACTAGTACTGGTGACACGTGGTGACACGTTTGTGTAGAGTAATTTCAATATAATAAATTTGGTGACACGTTGGTCACACGTTGGTAACATGTTGGTGACACAAATAAAATTCTTGACAGGATTCCATCGTCTCGTTCCATTCAGTTTAACAGCCGTGTGAAAATGTTTTGCCCCGTTTGCATGATCTTCTATGCAGCAGGCCCACTGGACAACCTTCTTGCTACTTTTCCCGTTATTGAACGCCTCTAGTACAATGTTGGTAAATGTCAGACAATTCGGGAATCTATCTAAATTTGCCCTTGCGCAAGTTATGAGGTATATCCGTCGGTTCTCACGTTCACTAAGTTATGAATTAATTTTAGTCTATGTTATTTGACTCTCCGCTAAAATTCGCGCTAGCTTCACCACTTTCCATTATATCGTAACGTATATAATATTAAATGTAAACAATATTCAAACCTATGAGAAGTACTTTGAAAATTCCCGCCAAAGACTAGCGGAAGTACATTAGGGAAACCCTAATTCAAATGGCCAATCACATGCATGCACAGTTTTAAATAGGAAGTTTGAACTTTGTAATGAAATTAGCAAGGTCATAATATATTTTGCCAAACTACAAAATAAAGTGGTAAAAAAAATTAAAAGCGAGCTAAAACCGAGAGTATTGTATGGGAAAACTCCGTAATTTTCCCATTCAAGTTCATACAATCCTGGACATAAATTACTGGCAAAAGGCTAAAAACTAAGAAAATTCATTGAATTTCACACCCCTTCCCCTAATATCAATGTTGATGGGTGTATTCGAAGCCAGATAACTTGGAAAAACAGTGATATTGGGGGAAGGGGGCATCATTGGGACAAACATGTCTTAAAATTATATTTTGAAGTAATAAACTAGTTTTTGCCACTTTTTTTGTCCAGGATTGTAGGTACTATAGCATTTTGTGGCACTGGAAAAGTATGTGGCACTGGAAAACAGAGTAAATTAACACTGAAAAATATGAGGAAGGGATATAGGAGTCACAGTGTTGCTTAATTTATAAGATTTAGCTGGGAACTTTGATTCTTCAACATATACACTTACTTTACTCTCATTGAGTGGAAAACATATTTCTGATCACACCCTTCCACACGGCACATGTACTGCTGGGTCGTGTTTCTTTGTTGCATGTGTGGCGGATATGTGCATGGATGTTTCCGAAGAAGTTTAAAAGCACCAAATTGTGCACAGTAGCATATTTTTATGAGTAGAACAACATGCAAAAGTGGGGCTATCGTGAAACTGTTTTTTAGAGAGTTACGATGCTATTTGCATTATTTGCTATTAAATTCTACTACAACAATGTGAAATTTTGAATTCAATCGCGATAAATATAACTTGCATCATCAGAAAGCTTGTCGAAAACTACATAAAAGACTTTTAAACAGTTTTTTTATTCTTCAAATGGTTATTGCTGTAAATTATTAATAATGTACGTAAATTAGTAAATAATTAAATTATCTCGGTAAAAGTCCCTAATTAACCATTCGATGTTTGAAAATGCGTTTTTAACAGTTTATGATTCGAAAACTATGTCTTAATAAGGGCCTGTTCATATGGGCAAAAGTTATCCCGGTTAGCGAGAACCGAGATCTCGCTTGTTGACAGGCGAGATCTCGGTGACCGGGATAATGCTTTTCCCATATGAACACAACTTTCCCGCTTAGCGGGATAAACTTTCTGTCGTGTCAACAACTTTTCAATTCAATTGATGTTCAGTGCCACGTCACAGCCGAAAACTTTACCCGGTAAGCGGGATAAAGTTTCTCCATATGAACAGAACAAAAGTATTTGGCTATTCGAAAAGTTTTCTCGTTAACCGGGATAATTTTTGCCCATATGAACAGGCCCTAAGTCAATATTTAACATATGCACCCTGTCAATATTTACGCATCTTTGCGTTCAGCTTAGCGCTAGAGCAGTCAAATTCTAACAATACATTATTTCAATAGTTTTGGGTTTTTTTTGGACACTTGTTTACTGTCGGCGGGCCATTGTCGTTACAGAGTTTGAGCAAGACAACGAACTGAACGAAGTACGAAGACGAAGGCATACTTGACAATTTTTGCCGCCTGCACATTATCTTGCGCATACTGAGTTGGACGTCACTGGTAGTTGCTTAACGTGTCTTCCCATGTGTCGCTGTTTATGAATACTGACCATAATTCTTGCCCTGATCCAGAAAGGAACGAGACATGAAACTATATCCCATCTTTGTCCTTCTGCCTTCGTGCAGAACGAAATTCACAACGAATTTTGCCAAAATATTCGTTGTGAACGAAGACAGAAGAACGAAGACGGGATATGGATTCATGTCTCGCTGTTCATCCTGATCAGGGTAAGGATTTGACTGTCAGCATTCACAAACAGCTAGACATGAATCTCTAATCTGTCTGCACTCCTGACCCTAAACTCAAAATGCGCAAGATAATGTGCAAGACAGGCAAAAATATAGTGTCAACCACGTCGTCGTCGTCCGACTTCGTTCTCTTGCCCAAACTCTCTGTTATAGCAGTTCAACCAAACAATTCACGAACTGAGAATGTATGCATCAACAGTTGCGAACAATGATAGCGCTGGATTACCGCAGGCATATGTGAATCAGGCTAAAGTAAAATGCTCATAGCTGATGTTTTACTTCGCTTGAATACAATTCTCCGCCAAATTCCTTTATTTGAATTTACTTATGCGAATTATAAGTCGTTTAAGAACTGAATACCGAACAACATGGAGCAAAACTTGAATCCATGCAAGGACGTAAACGTAAAGCCACGTTACTTCGAAAACTAGAGTTGGGGACATTGTTATTTTTAAATTGACATGGAATGATCATCTAGAGCAAATATCAAAGAAAATTATAAAATCAACAGCAGTCATTGTCAGGATCCGACATTTCATAAACTTGAAAGCTCTTAAATTAATTTATTATGCATTAGTCTATCCATATCTTATTTACGGCAATCTAATATGGGGTAACCCATACAAAAAGAGAACACAAAAATTAGTAAATATTCAGAAAAAGATTATTCGTCTAATGACGTTTAATTCTTACTTTGAACATACCGAACCAATATTTAAGGAGTTAAAAATACTAAGCATTTATAAATTGAATCAATACCTAACAAGTTTATTTATGTTTCGATATCATAATTTGAAGAATTTACCAGAAACATTCGTAAATTATTTCATACCCAATAATAAAATACATGACCATGGCACAAGGAATGCAACTAAGCTTCACAAGACTTATAAAAGAACGAATTATGTAATCCATACTCTTTCTAACAAAGGAGTTGATGTTTGGAATAGCATAGCATCTAAATACAAATCTATTTTCTCTTATAGTACTTTTAAAATTAAAATAAAAAATCATTATATATTCAACAATGGATGTATAATGGTTTAAAACATATTATCACTTTCTTTACTGTAAATATACATATATAGTATCCTCCACTTCGAATATATATAATTAAGTTTTTATGCATGTTAATGTTTTATTTTATACTTGTTATATACGCATTTATCTTTGTTCAATCTAATATATTATTCGAACTGACTAAATAGAATGAAACAATGTAAATATAGTCAATAGGGGTCTTAATTAAAAAGCCTAGTAGGTTTCTAGAAGGCTCCTAGCCTATCCAAAACAATAGAAAAATAAATGTAAATAACTTGATATTTTTTATGGGCGTAAATAATAATAAAAAAAAATAAATTAATGTACAGGTATTCGACACTTGCCTTAATAATAATATTAATAATAATATACCATATTTATACAGGTTAAACTTGGTCAGCTAAAGGAATAGCTGCTATCACTCAAGGACCTGTTTAGACTAAATAATCTGTTCTATACTTATATAATAACTAAAAAGTTTTTGGCTTCAGCATTTATATAAAAATATTTAAAAATCCACTAATCAGTTTTCATAAAAAAGTTTCTACACTTTTGCTTAAAACGTAAAAGTGATGTCTCATTCCTCAAATCTTCTGGCAGTTCGTTAAAAACCAGAGCTCCTTGGAACGAGAACATCTTGCGTCCAGTTTCTGTTTTCACTTTTGGTAGTCTCAATTTTGAGTTGTTTCCTCTTGTTTCTTTCTGGTGGGAGAACTTGTTAAAAATGCCATTAAATTGATTAGGCAACAAGGCCATTTAGACACTAAGGCCGTTTCCATTAACGTTCGCTTTGCCCGCGCGGGCGAAGCGTTCATTGTTTTTGAAGCCCGTCACGCCCGCGTGAGCAGATTTTCAAAAAGCCCGCTCCGCCCGCGCGGACAAAGCGACTGCAATGGAAAATTGCCTTTAGGCCTGTTTCAGTAACGACGCGCTTCTCGTGTGCCGAACACATTAAAAACAAGTCAGGTGAAATCATTATGCCTCATTATCTATTGTTTCTAATGCGTTCGGCACATGAGAAGCGCTACGTTTGAACAGGCCTAACATAACAAAAACATGATCAATGATAACAATAAAAACTATTCCATGCACATGCTTCAATCCTACTAGTTAACATGCACAACTCGACGTTAGCGAACGAATATTCAGTTATATTAATAATGTACATTGGGTCGCCACCAATCTATATGAACATGGCTTTGTCACCCTTTGTGATTGGTTGATCATAACAATAAAAGACAATGAACTATAGAAATTGTCTTTCTAAACGAGTCATAAACACTGATGACAAAACACGACATTTTAGGTTGGTATTTACTCGACTATTTATGCAAATATACGCGTGTTTTTTACTGAAATCATTTCAACCGTATAGCCATGCATGGTAGACGATTTACATGTGATTGCAACTCTGCAGTGTTTAGCAATTTTGTGTAACATTTTATTCTCCGTGCATATACCTGTCCTGTAGAGGCATTAAAAAGATATAGCAGGTTAAATAACGAAATAAAGCATGCACTGTTAACCGCGAGTTATTACTTGAAAACTTTGAAAGTTTCTGCAAATTATTATTTCTGACAACAGCATGCCCCCATGCAAACAAATATCCCAAGGGCACGTATGGAAGGAGTATTGTTTCCCAATCTTGTGCGTGCGGCGTTCATGCCTATCATGGTCGCGACAGTTTTTCAATGAAATATAGCAATTTCTGTTTTGGAATTTAACGGGAGAAAGTGTCTAATCCTTTCTGCAGATTGTACGTGATGTAAGCCCAACAGTTTTCTCGCAAACGTGGAGAGGAAATAGAAGACAGATTCACTATCCTTTTACTTTCCGTTCCCTAGCTTTACTGAGTGAATTAACCATGCATTTTAAACGCGAGTCTGTTAGTGAGAGTTGAGTAGACTATTATTCCTGGTACAAACATTCGCCCAATCTAATAACCCAAAGCTATATATAAAGAGAGCTAACTTTCCTTTCTGTAAATAGTATAATTGCATTGTAATATAGGACACATCAAGTTGTTCAGGCCGGCTTACCTAATTATGCGCCACGTACTTTAGATTTGTGTAAACAAATTATTATGAGGCTAGTCTTCGGTTGACGAATTGACGTTAATTAGTTATGTGTGGATGTCCCAACAAAAAGTGATACTGCAGTATTACTACTATACAGTAGTGTAAAGATCATCCAGAAATCAACAGACCATACAATGAATACAATGAATACAAAATAACACCAAAACAACTGCATTTATAGCATCATGGATGCAAAGCATTCTGGTCGGCTAACAGCGATGCATTCTGGTCGGTTAACAACAGTGCATTCTGGTCGGAGAAACGGAAGTAAAATCTTACTTTCAGAGCCCAATACGAATTAGAACTGCTGACTTGCTCGCTCGCTTCAGGCTCGCTCGCTGCGTCAGCAATTAGCATATATTCGAAATGTGGATAGTGCTTTTCACGCAATTTGATTGATTGTTCATCTCCGGGTATCCTTGAACGATATTCGCCTCGGAAAAAAGAAAATTAATGGCTTCCCGTTTCGTTCCGGTTACAGGCGAGCAAGCATTTGTACTAAACGAAGCTGGCATTTTCGCCAGACACGAAGAAAGTCACCAAGCTAAGATTTTTCTAATTCACAGTGTGTTAAAAGTATTCTTAAAAGTTATTTCTAATTAATAACATGATAAAACCACCGAAAGCGGGTGAAATTGTTTATGCGTTCGACGAAGAACGCTTCCTAATCGTGACGTCACGCGGCTAGATTCGAGATTTTTGGATGTAACGTTTGCCTCGCTTTCGTGTTTATGGAATTTGCCTCGGTTTCGTGCGGCGTCTTAATTTCCACGTGCTTCCAATATTTTGCGAAGTAAGGAGATTTTGGCTGTTGTTTTGGGTTTTTCCTACGGTTTATCGTAAGGTAATCAGTGGTGTTGTGTTATTTTTATTACACTTATCAAAGATACTTATCAAGAATTTGTCTTGCGTTGTTTTATCGATTGGAAATCCAACATTTCAATTTGCTACCATCCCACATGCTTTTTGTCAGCTAGAGTTCACAGCAGATTTAACTTCGCTCTGCTTAATAAAGGGTTTGGATGCATGTCTAGCATATTCTCTTCAACATGTTGTTAAGCATTTGAATTTGCAGAGTTGTGTTGAAAAATATGAGTCATACAAATCCCAGTTATTTTGTTGACACAATTATGAACCTAATCAGTAATCATAATATTCATAGACAAGCAGAGCGAAGTTTTACTGACAAAATCAGTAAAACTGTATTTTTCATGAACATTTCTTGCCATGTTTGATTACCAAAAATGACACGTGTGGTATACCAATGAAACTTCTGATGCTTTGATAACTTAGTCTGTTGGAATCTTTGTGAGAGAAAATTAGTCCTCTAAGGGGATTGTTTATATCGAAGCCGGTGTGGCGGTCTGAAATTGTCATCGTGCTGAAAATGTATTCAAGCTAGTGCGCATGCTCCAAGCGGCGCCTGCAAAACTAGCACGCGGTACAGCGGTCTAGCATTGTCATCGTGCTTATCGTGCAGCCGCTCCTTGCGTTATCAACAATATAGTATTGTAATTATCAACCGTTATCAGCAATAAGTTATTGGGTTGTAACCCTAACCCCCACCCTAACCCTAACCTCTAACCTCCACCCCCTAACCCCACCCCCTAACCCCACCCCCACCCCTAACACCACCCCTAACCCCACCCCTACCCCCACCCCCTAACCCCACCCCCTAACCCCACCCCCTAACATTCTCGTTTCCCAAAAATGATCATTTGAAAGTCAAGTACTAAATATGTACGTATCGCATATAATTTACTAAACTTTTATAGAGGTGGATTGTATGAAAATACCCATCAGTTTACATTTACAGGTTGTATATTAAAAATAACGAAAGCATGCAAACATTTACCAATAATTTGTTGTTATATTGAAATTTAAAAATGTAAGAAATAGCTGAAATTTAAACTAGGAAAGGCCAATATGTTACATCAGGCAATTTTAACTGCAACTTTATGCCTGTCTCATTGTGCAAGACTTTTCTCTAATACGTACAGTCATCTGACATTAGACAGAGAAAAATAATGGGTATGATCTGCCATTATCATGAAATTGCCTATACTCCTATGGGAAAATAATTGAAACCTAAAACAGGGGTTATTCTAAGGATAATTTACAACTCCAGTAACTAAAAAAAATTCTGCCACTTTGTTGAAGTATTAAGCCTTGAGGAGGAGATCTAGGCCTGCTGTATCGACCTGCATTATCCCTGAGAATAACTAGCAAGGCTTTTTTGAATTTGGTATGGTCTTCATCTTACTTATTCTCTAGTTACACTGTGATTCTGTCACAACAACTGTTAGTCTGTTAGTCACTTTTTGATGTGGTGAAGTCAGACCCCACTCATACGGTACACCTGTTGATGAGATAGGTAATAGGTAATATACATTCAGGGCATGGGTTCTCATTGGGTCAATGGTTGGGCAATCAATTGGGTCTTGAAAGAAGGCCATTTGTACTAGTTATTATATAAGCTTTAGTGTAAAATAATTTTATATTTCCATATAAACTGATGACATACTTCATAAACTTTAAACATCTTAGGAGCCCACTAACCGGGCTGGCCCGCTTAGTGGGCTCTCTCCTCCGCAGAGCCTCCTTAAGAGGCTGTCTCCGTAAAAACCTCCAGGTCAGTATGGGGCTCAAAAATAGATTTCTCTCATACTCTAGTATTTTAAAGATCTATCCTTGGGAACAACTAAAATCGATGTAATTTTACTCAAATTTCCTTTAAATTATTTTTGGGGGCGATTGATGTTCGATCGACTGGTAACCAACTTGATACTCCGAATGAAGGCCAAATATCGACATATTTTCAGCGCTATTTTTTAAATCAAATTCATACCTAAATTTCAAAATTTTTGCTCAGAAATATAGACTCATCCTTCTATTTTCGCGGGTGATATGACTTAGATCATTATTCTTTGGTATAAAATAGAAAACAGCGCAGTTATTGACCCTCCCGAACGGATAAAGGATATCGTCTCAAAATATGTCAACTTCGAAAGCTTATTTCAAAATCGTGGCACTTGATTGGAACATGACTTTAACTTTTCTATAAACTACTAACATTAGTCAACACAAATCGCCAATAATATCTTTCTGATCTACCATTTGACAAAAATGACAAGCGCGCAAACTTTGTAAAATTTGAAAATGTGTCGAAATCGAGCATACTTTATCGGTAAACATAATTCTTGATATTACAGGGCCCGCGGAGCGTATTAGAGAGTGGGGGGGCTAAAGGGTGAGGTTTAATTAATTTAGAAAGTTTCATTTAGATTTCTATTTTAATAATTTTGGCTGTCAAAAAAAGTGGGGGGGCTAAAGCCCCCCCAGCCCCCCCGTCTCCGCGGTCCCTGTATTAACAAATAAAACCACCTTACACTACACTGAATCAAGCCTGATTATGTAAATATATGTCTTTCATCATTATTCTTTGGTTTTGCAGTCGAATGAAATTGTTTGACTGTACAGTTTGGCTTCAAGGATAGTCATTCAATGCCAGTGTGTCCAGTGTGTTCGAATTCTGCGCGCCTCAATGCCATGAGTCCTGATTGTGACATACGAACTTCGCTCTGTTCGCTTTGTTTCAGAGGCGTAGCAAAATTCCCCCCCCCCTGGCAAAATTTTGGGGCCCCCGTGATAAAATTTATTGTACTAGTATGAATACCTGCAAGGTTGGGATTGCTTGGGGCATCAAGAGCAAATAGAACTAAAAATAGTACAAATTACATAAAGCATGCAGTTATTATCGCAGCAAGCCGGCGACTTGTGAGCACTGTGGTCGGAGCTTAAGGAATACGGAATCGATTCATGCCATGAGTGTCTGAGAAAAAGCAATGCATTTGTTGCCAAGACCATGCACGAGTGCAAGAGCAATCACAGATTACAGAAAGGCGTGTTAATGTTAATGTTAATGTTTATGGAAGTAATATTCACTAAATCATAAGCAAGAATATATAATATTTTCAAGATCAAGTGGAATTTGTTGAATTTAATACGCGCTGCTCTAGTACGCGTATAAATACAAACGACAATTAAAGCATTCTTAAGACGTACAGGTATAAATTATATAACACAAGTTTTTGCTATCTGATTTCATATTATTAAGTCTAATACTGCTAGGCGCATTCACCACATTGTATACACAGTATTAAACTAAGAAACCAAAACTTTATAATAAATTAAAATATAGAACTTACAGTGGTCAAAGTCCATTGAGTGAACAACGCACGAAGTGCAGTCACGTTATTTTATACACTAAATCATGGCCTTTACAGGGCTTAAAACTTTTACTAAACCATACGCTGAGTGCCTGAGTCAAAATAATTTACAAGTCGAAGCAAGCAAAACAAATATTCGCCGAAGGCGAGGTGATTATCGGGGAATATTTGCCGAGACGAAGTCGAGGTGAATATTCCCCGATAATCACCGAGCCTGAGGCGAATAATTGTTTTACTATTTTTGCACAAGTTTTTTTGTGTTTTTCTTGTCTGAATTCATTTTAATTTCGCTTATTTTTTATCACTAACTTCAACAAAACGGCTAGCCGCCATTTTGAAAATTTAGATTTTGTTATATTCACCTGTAGGTGAATATAACAGATTAATACGTCAAATTTGACCAAACACCTTGTAGGATTTGTTATGTTCACTTGTGCAAAAATACTAATAAACAATATCCTTCAAATATGCCTCAAATATTGTATGTCGTACGTTATTTTGTGTTCTGCGCATAGCAAGCGCACACGACCACAATACAATGCGCTAAATAAAATTTACTTCAAAACCCCCTCTCTGCACATATTAGAATGCTGCTTCGCTCGCTCGCTTCAGGCTCGCTCGCTACGCAACAATAAAAAAGGGAATCCTTGATTATATAGCTTCAAGTTGAAACCCGTCGGAAAATTGTCAATGTTGTCGGAATCTTTGTGGTGAAGCATTGGAAGAAGTGATACGGAAATCGGGAAAAGTGCTACGAAAGCAATTGTAATGTCCGGAAAATTTTTTTACCAAAAAAGGTGTCGACGGGGTGGTCGGAGATTTAAAAATTTGTGGTCCGGAAAATTTTTTGGCCCCACGTGGGTTTATGCTGGCCCCCCCCTGACCAAAAATCCTGGCTACGCCTCTGCTTTGTTTACCTCCTGTAAATAAAATGTCTCAAAGAAATTAGAAAATTCAGAATTAGTCATACTACAGACATAATTTTCATTGGTTTGTTTACCTTAAACTGTTATATATAAAAGTTTCGTTTTATAGAATGTACGAATTAATCTCGGGGAAAACTCCTAACCGAAAGAAATGTACTCGCTGAGCGTAAACATGTCAATCAAATGACGATGAAATGTTTCGTTGCTCTCTGATTTCCCTTTCTTTGTATTGAATTAAATGGGCGTTGTGAAAACCCGGAATGCCGGAATATCACGGAATATGGCGGAATATCACGGAATATCACGGAATATGCCGGAATATCACGGAATATGGGGGAATAACACGGAATATCACGACATTTCCCCGGAATATACCGGGACATCACAATATTTTCCGATGGTAGCCATGCAACTGTTTATAAACATGGACGTCTGACAACATATTTTATTACAAAAGTGATGGATCTTTCCCATTTTGACGGGAAGTGACAAACAATAACTCTATACTGAAAGTTTTATATGTTGTTTATATCATTATTGCGAATGATCACCAAAAATTTTGAGCCAATATGATTAATTCCCCCTGAGTTACAGCGTCTTGGAAAACAAAAGTGCTGACGTCAGCATTATTTTCGAACGCCTTCAGAACTGTGTTTTACACAAAATTTGGTTAATTAAAATTGACCATTTTATACCACCAAGCATTTATCCAAAAATCAAATGCTAAAATAAAGGCAACTTTGAGCCAGCCAATTTTCAGTTAACTAAATTTTGTGTATAAACGACTCGTTCACACTTGCAATTTTTACTGCGATTTTAGGTGCGATTTTCATCAGAAGAACTGATGGATGTGAACGAGTGTATAAGTTATGAATGTTCAGATGAGGGTACATGTACTCCGAACATTCGTAACTCATCTACTCATGCATTAGAAGGAGGAAATCGCACTAGAAATCGCAAGCAAAAATTGCAAGTGTAAACGGGCCTTTATAATTAACACAGTTCTGAAGGCGTTCGAAAATAATGCTGACGTCAGCACTTTTGTTTTTCAAGACGCTGTAACTCAGGAGGAATTAATCATATTGATTCAAAATTTTTGGTGAACACTCGTAATAATGATATAAACAACATATAAAACTTCCAGTATAGAGTTATTGTTTGTTACTTACCGTCAAAATGAGAAAGATACATCACTTTTGTAATAAAATATGTTGTCAGACAGTCATGTTTATAAACAGTCGCATTGGCTACAATCGGAAAATATTGTGATGTTCCGGTATATTCCGGGAAAATGTCGTGATATTCCGTGATATTCCGGCATATTCCGTGATATTCCGGCAAATTCCGTGATATTCCGCCATATTCCGTGATATTCCGGCATTCCGGGTTTTCACAACGCCATGAATTAATTGGAGTCTTAGACAGTATTGCACGAGGTTTTTGTGTTTACAATGGCATGTGCTAAAACCTTGACGATGGACTGGACGATGGACGATGGACGCTGGACGATGGACGATAGACGATGGACGTCCATCGTCCAGGTTTTAGCATTTGTGCTAAAACCTGGACGATGGACGATTTTTATTTAGCTACAGCCGTTTCAACAAATTCAGTCTCCAAATTCAGTCTCCGGCTATCACTTTGTCACTATAGACGGCATGTGCTAAAACCTGGACTGGACTCTGGACTGGACTGGACTATGGACTGGACTGGACTATGGACTGGACTGGACTATGGACTGGACGATGGACTGGACGCATTTGTGCTAAAACCTAGGATTTTTATTTAGCTACAGCCGTTTCAACGAATTCAGTCTCCGGCTATGACTTTGTCACTAAAGACACTATACTATATACTATATGACCTTACTTACTGAAATTTTATTGACAGTTCATTAAATAGAAATTATACAAATTTACAACATTTTAATCAATGTTACAATTCTCGACGTTTTCAATAATTAGCGTGCGTAAATAACCGGACCCGAAATTTTGTACTTGTAGAGAATGTTCTTCTCAAGCTACGACATCTAGATCTATCTCTCACAATCCACAAAGCGTACCAAGAAGTACTGAAAAAGGTTAGTAAAATAGTTTTAAAACTTGATATTTAAGAGCTCGAAATCTCAAATAATATTTTGCAATTCTAGATTCCCCTTATTACGTTTTCGTAGCGCTTTCCATTGTGGTTAGGGAAGCCTCACATATCGATTTTTTCCACGAGAAACGTCATATGTTCGTTTGGGGGTGGGGGGATTTGCAGCTGTGACGTTTCTCAGTAAACGTCATGGAAAAATTCGATAGTTTTTTCGAAAGCCTTAACATTTCGGAATCATCTTTGCAGAATAAAAAAATTGCATTCGTAATACCATACCTGTTCTATATACGTATACATTTATATTATTACGCCTGGCTTGTATTGAAAACACTCAAATTTCAAGAAAAACGCGCTAAAATTATCAATATTTCATGCAAAAAAAAGTTGTTTTGAGAAACGTTGGAAATTTTGATGACATATTCTTCACGGAAGCATCGCCAATAGCCGACCGTAGAAAATGGTGAAATTACCTTATGTGTGCTATAAGAACAAAATATTGATAACTATGTGTGACGTTTCTAAGGGGGGGGGTCTCCAGAGAAACGAACATATGACGATTCTCATGGACAAAATCGATATGTGAGGCTTCCCTTATAGTGGTATCACAGATATTCAATGGCTTATTTTTTGTCCTGACCCGTGCAAGAACTTTTAAAAAAGCTAGGGTCGGGTGCGCGATAGCCAACAGCAAAATATTCGCGAAAACATTCAATATTTTCATTCGAGGCCGCTATCTTTATCAGTGATACCACTATAACCACAATGGAAAGCGCTACGAAAACGTAATAAGGGGAATCTAGAATTGCAAAATATTATTTGAGATTTCGAGCTCTTAAATATCAAGTTTTAAAACTATTTTACTAACCTTTTTCAGTACTTCTTGGTACGCTTTGTGGATTGTGAGAGATAGATCTAGATGTCGTAGCTTGAGAAGAACATTCTCTACAATAATTCGGTCCGGTTATTTACGCACGCTAATTATTGAAAACGTCGAGAATTGTAACATTGATTAAAATGTTGTAAATTTGTATAATTTCTATTTAATGAACTGTCAATAAAATTTCAGTAAGTAAGGTCATATAGTATATAGTATATAGTATAGTGTCTTTAGTGACAAAGTCATAGCCGGAGACTGAATTCGTTGAAACGGCTGTAGCTAAATAAAAATCCCAGGGTTTTAGCACAAATGCGTCCAGTCCATATCCAGTCCATAATCCAGTCCAAAATCCAGTCCAAAATCCAGTCCAAAATCCAGTCCATAATCCAGTCCAAAATCCGGTCCAAAATCCGGTCCAAAATCCAGTCCAAAGTCCAGTCCATAGTCCAGTCCATAGTCCAGTCCAGTCCATAGTCCAGTCCAGTCCATAGTCCAGTCCAGGTTTTAGCACATGCCTTGACATTTAGGACATTTAGAGAGAATGCAGTCCGCATGATAAATTTGATAAATAGCTTTAATTGTGACATTAGCTAATACTGTAATGAAATTACTTTACTGTAATGAAGTACTTTGTGAAATATAATACTGAATCAAACTCTAAGACTATGTAAGTGTTAAATATATCTGTGGTACATATGACTATATATGACTGCATACATGTATGCATATCAGACTGAGTGTGATATCAGTGTTTATGCCGTGGTTTATGCCGTGTTTATTCCGTGGTTTATGGAATTATCTATGACTATGTTCATATTATAAAGTGTGTACTGTATATCAGAGAAATACTGTTATAAATATTGCTATTACCCCATTACTTAGTGCATGGAGGCCAAAAAATTATCAGGCTAAAGCCGTGATTGTATATACCACCTGACGATGATACACGCCCTGAGGCTGAAAATTGTTGTACTTTACTACTTGACAACTTCCTACGCTACCGATCTACAGGGTTTTTTAATAAATATGACGAACTATTTAGTTAAAAGTATTTTCAAAGATAAACGATCGACAGTTTTAAAGTGAGCATTTAGTCTCTGTTCGGCAGTGTCCACATGTTTACATTGTGATTTGTGACAAAGAGTTAATTACATTTCAAAATTTTATCAACCTTCACTATAAAATGAAACGCGTATTATTACTAAATCGGTACAAAGTTTATCAACGTTTTCAAACAACAAATCTAATGGCATATTTTCGGAACAGATATTAAAAAGTAAAAAGGTACAAACGTTGACGACTGACCAGTTTGATATGAAAATATGTTTCAGGAGAATACCCAACTTCATCAAAGTTTAAACTATACATTTTATTTGTTTCTTGACTTGACTCTTGATAAAATGGCTACAGAGTACAGTGTTTTTGTAATTTAAAAGCAAACGGAGGTATAAAATAGAAGTTAGCGGGCGCTTCGAACTATATATCGTAAATCCCACTCCTGGTATTTGAAATTTAACGTTTTCTGTGGAAGCATGTAATTTGATACTTTGCCACTCCCCCTTGGGCAATCAATTTTTGTATAGGCACAGGAGGCCCAGGCTCGATTTGCCCGCGCCCGCCTGTGCCTTCCTTATAACGAGGGAAGGACGGAGACATTGAGACCAAAATAGCCCAGACTTGGCATATGTCACACGAAACTATCCTCGATTTTTCGCTTTTAATGCATTTCTTCCACGATTAATCGATATCCCCTGCAAGAATGATACCGTATAACTCTCAAAACAACGATGCTTTAATCAAAGAGCTTAAATTCGCTCTGAAATCCGTGAGGGAATAACAAAATTCGGCCAAAATATATCCGCGTGCCCGGTTTGCTGTGCGGAAGTCGTTCAACAACTCAAAAACACTCAACCCTGATTGGACAACGAATTTCAACAAACATTTCAAATTTTTTTAACAAACACAATGTGAAATACAATTTATTATACATATTAACGTACTACAGTTTTATATACTTGCAGTAATATTTACACTTTATAACGTTTGTGAATAGTTTTGATTGTATGATTGAAATTATAACAGTACTGTTAAAAAAAATTGAAATGTTTGTTAAATTCGTTGTCCAATCAGGGTTGAGTGTTTTTGAGTGTTTTTGAGTTGTTGAACGACTTCCGCTTTTTGCACAGCAAACCGGGCACGCGGATATATTTTGGCCGAATTTTGTTATTCCCTCACGGATTTCAGAGCGAATTTAAGCTCTTTGATTAAAGCATCGTTGTTTTGAGAGTTATACGGTATCATTCTTGCAGGGGATATCGATTAATCGTAAAAGAAATGCATTAAAAGCGAAAAATCGAGGATAGTTTCGTGTGACATATGCCAAGTCTGGGCTATTTTGGTCTCAATGTCTCCGTCCTTCCCTCGTTATAAGGAAGGCACAGGCGGGCGCGGGCAAATCAAGCCTGGGCCTCCTGTGGTACGATTGGGAATTTAATTGTTGCTATTGTTAGCCCGTTTTAATAAAGTGCCGTATTTACTCGATTGAGCGCCGCCCTCGATTAAGCGCCGCCCCAATCTCGTACCCAGAGCCACCCTCAACGATGGCTCTGGGTACGAGATTGGCGCCGCCCCCGAATGAGCGCCGCATCAACCTCGTTCCCAGGCTCTTTGCTTCCCAAGAGCAAAGAGCCTGGGAACGAGGTTGGCGCCGCATTTGAGATCATTTTTTTTTAAAGAGCGCCGCCTCCGAATGAGCGCCGCGTTAAACAGTGTAATAATTTTCCGCCGTCAAAAGGGGGACATTTTGTGACAAAGACATTTAAAACTTGTTTATTTTATTGGTAAAAGTTCTTGATATATATTTCACAAATAAAAGTTTTTTTAAAGAGCGCCGCCCCCGATTGAACGCCGCCCTGGAATGAGCGCCGCATCTGAAGCTCTGAAAATTTAAAGAGCGCCGCGGCGCTCAAACGAGTAAATACGGTATATCCCTAATATCCGCGTCTAGCAAGTTAATTAATTAAATCTGACTAATTAAATTTTTGTCTGAATCTTATTTATATAAAAGTACTTTGAATTTTTAAGTTTAATTCAAAAGCAAAATGCACACTCTGCGGACATGTTCATGAGAATATAATTTTTTTGTGTAACGAAATCAACAACACTTCTCAATCATATTGCATGTTGTGTCTAAAAATAACATGTGGGCGTCCCACGGTCTAGACAGGTTTTGTGTCAGGCCCTATTTCCAGGTTCAAATTAGGGCCTGAACTTCAGGCAGTGTTTCCACTTTCAAGGAAATTTCCTTTTTCAAGGAAATTTTGACCGAAAAAAGATGTTTCAAGGAAAAAAAGGAATCAAGGAAATCTAAGGAATTTTTGAAAATTCTAAGGAAATTTAAGGAATTTTTGAGTCAACTGAAATGTTTTGAAGATTCTTTCAGGAACCTTTCATTAATTTTAAATTATATTACTTTCCTTCGCTCATAACCAATATGTCCGCGTGCAAAAATAAAAAAAAACTCTTTCGGAGCCTGTGACCGAGTCAGTAGTATCTAGAATTATTAATTAAACTAATTATAAGTAGGCTGCACACAACCTGAATTTTAGGCGGAAATCAGGTAGGGTGCTGCGTGCAGGCGAATTTATATGAATTTATTTGTCATGTGAATTTGTTGACTATTGAGAACAATATTAAAACTCTAGTATTTTACGTTTTATAGCTTTCAAAATTGTTGTGTAAAGGCTTTGTTTTTAAGAGTTGTACGAAAGAAATGTACCATTCTGTTTCTGTCTTACTTTATATAAGTATTGATGAATTCTAGTTGCCGAAATATGCTTCGGTTGATCAAGGAAATTTCAAGGAAATTACAT